CCGAGCTGACAACAATCGAGGTCCGTCCGTCCCCCCCCTGCACCGGGGCTCTCCCCTTCCCCGCTCCCGGAGGAACGGGGAGGAGGATCGAAAGGGTGCAACTCCTACGGGTTGAGACACGAACAGTCCAGCAACCAATGTACAACACAAATCACCACCGCTACTATCGACTACGACAATGGTAAGGGAAAATAACAAGGGAAGAGAATACGATACCACCGGCCAAGAAAACGAGTCCCACTCGGAAGCCCGCGTCCTTCCGGGTGACTCCCAGTTACCCCCCACCCCGGGCATGACGTGCTGTAGTATGGAATACCTCCCCGGCCAGCCCGGGTCAGGCGCCCCATCTCTGCTTCCTCACAGCTTCCCCTCCTCCCTGGCAGAGCATGAGCCTCACAAAGTCCTTGGTCAGGGTAAACATCACTTAGCAACAACCGAAAACATCGGCTTCACCAACACTGTCCCCAGGCTGGAAGTCAAAACACAGCACGGCACCAGCTAACACAAAGGAAAAACATGACTGCTACTGCTGAACCCAGGACATCAGTGATGCCATCAACTTCTGGGAGTTGCACTGTGCTTGTGTCTTTGGAAGGAAATGGACTTTCTTTCTTTGTAGAAGGTGAAAAGTCCTCTTGCTGATGAGTTTACTACCTAGAACAGCAAGAAGAGATGTGAGGTACAGCAGAAGGGATCTGAAGGTCCCCTCTGATGGAGAGTTCCACAAACGCAATTTCTTTGAGAAAATCTCTTTCCAACTGACATAAAAATTTACACATCGTAGGGTAAGGAAAAAGGACACCACTGAAGCAACAACTCACCAAAACCACATCCAGAATCACCATCCCTGCTTACAAGGCTGCCTATGCTTCTCCAGAAAGCCTGGAAAACACACAGAAGCAATACCAATTTATCCCTTGGGTCCATGGCTCCTCTGCAATCTTGGTTGCTTCTAGTACAGGCACTAGTGCCTTACAGCAAGGTTCTCAAGTACTACTGCAAGCTCTTTTAAAAACTTATGAACTGAGAAAAGAGAAAACTTTGTGAATATCTGAGCTCTTTCAAACACTTTCTTTTCTCTTTCAGCACTGCAGTATTTTCACGGTATCATTTAATTGTTAAGTGCACAGAAACAGATTGTGCTAACAGGAGACAATAAATGGAGGGGAGTAAGCTTCACATAGCATCACATGCTACACAACAGACCTTATTTTAAATATTTGTCTTAAAAATATTCCATAGAAAAAAACAGAGAAGGAGAGTTGGCATAGTCTTGATGTCAACTTTAAAGTCCATACTACAAGTACCTTTGGAAAAATCCAGACACATATCATTGACATACCTAGTGCTTGAAGACCTCTACAGATTCATCCCTCTTCCTTTTCCCTTCATTATGGAACAAAGGGTGACTGCAGTGAAATGGTGGCAGCCAACCTCAGGCTGAGAGAGGGAAAAAAAACCTTTAACATCAGGGTGGATAGGAATCCAAAGCTTCCCTTGTTGGTGCAGCTTTGTGAAGACTACAGCCAAGCCAAGGTAAAAGTATTTTTCATCATCTTTGTTACAGCTGGTGATAGAGGCTGCTAGAGCTTTGCATTGTTTAGACAACCCTGCCTCTAACTCACTGGCAGCTTTGAGTTTCAGTAGAACTGCTCTGGTGGAAACACAAAGGTGAGGGACACAGATACCCACACGCTTTTTCTCGAGCCTACGGACAGCCAGGACTTCCTCACCCTGCTGGTTCCAAGTTGGATGTTTTTTGGTTAAAGTGTGCAGCAACACGTCTGCCCTTGTCAATGCCTCCTTGCAAAAACTGAACTATTTTTATTTTTCCAGGCCACTTCTCCAAATGGCCAAGATCTTTCACAACTGCAAGTGTGCCACCTAAGGGCATGACTGAGGCTGCCTCCCAGCTTCTGACCATCCTAAGATTTAACAGACACATGCTCTATTCCATCTCCCAACAGCTAAAATACTTAACGCTCTCAGACTCAGAGCACAATCCTGTGCCTGCCCACACACGCCTGTTGTTTCTACAAGGAGCTGCCAGGTATCCCTGTGAGCATGGCAGCGCACACAACATCAGTTTCACCAACGTCGCTGTTCAGTGAACATGGTTTCTGAGGCTTTAAACCAAAAACCGTTATCTTGACACTTCGCCATAGTGGAAGCGATCCCTAACTCCAACTCTGTGAAAAAGCAGCAAAACAAATTACAAACACACAGCAACAACATGTCCCAAAACATTTAGACTCAGAACAAAAAATAAACCAGCTCCACTGCATGGCAGAGGCTGGCAGATAAAAGGGTCAGCATTCATAGCCCCTACAGGGTATGGCATTCTCCTTCTATTTCAAAACCAATCTGTTAGATTTAAATATTGCAGCACTACTACAGCAATTTTGAGAGTAGGCAATGACAGCCCTGCTGCTGGACCTGTGTTGTGGTTTAAACCCAGTCAGGTAGCTTGTTCACTCACTCCCAGTGAGTGGTGCCGAGCTGACAACAATCGAGGTCCGTGTCCGTCTCCCCCCCCCCGCCTCCCCGCACCGGGGATCTCCCCTTCCCCGCTCCCGGAGGAACGGGGAGGAGGATCGAGAGAGTGCAACTCCTACGGGTTGAGACAAAAACAGTTCAGCAACAAATCACCACCGCTACTATCAGCTACAACAATGATAAGGGAAAATAACAAGGGAAGAGAATACGATACCACCGGCCAAGAAAAACGAGCTCCACCCGGAAGCCCCTGTCCTTCCGGGTAACTCCCAGTTACCTCCTGGGCATGACGTGCTGTGGTATGGAATACCTCTTTGGTCAGTTTGGGTCAGGTGTCCTGTCTCTGCTTCCTCCTGGCTCCCCCTCCTCCCTGGCAGAGCATGAGGCTCACAAAGTCCTTGGCCAAACCAAAACATCCTTGTTATCAGCTCTGTTCCCGAGCTGAAAGTCAAAACACAGCACTACACCAGCTACCAAGAAGGAGAAAAATGACTGCTACTGCTGAACCCAGGACAACCTGCTATTGACTGATGCCATTTACTCAGCAGGACACACAGACATGTTTTGCCACACACAGCCCTGATTTCTTGAATATTTACGTTTCTCAAAAATAGCCATTTGGAACATAGATTCATTACATTTCTACTGGCATCTAGGTGCTCATAACCGAACTATACTGACATCATAGAAATCTAGTTATACATATAAAACTAAAAGGCTACTTCAAATTTGCCCACAAAATTAGTATGATGAAACAGAGAAGAAACTGTCCAAAAGACATTAACAAGCAGTTCTTAATTTATTGTGGATAAAAGTTCATGCTTCTACCTGCAAGGAAAACATTCTTACCTATCAAGGGACCAGTTCAGGTACGGGGCATGCTCTGTTGACTGCAATTTTTCATCAGATTTTCTGCACCAGCAGCGAATCTGCCTTTTCTCTGGGTCCCATGCAGTTTCGGCAGCATCCTCGAACTTGCTTCTGCTGTCTGCGAGCACCAGAGGCTCTGGCTGGGGGATTGACCACTCACTTGCCCAGTGCTGGTCCCAGAGCAGAATGGAACCAAGCAGCCACCACTCCAGCCCCGAGCAGAGGGAAACAACAGTGATGGGCTGCAGGACAGAGACAGGGGGTTAAATACAGGCGCAGGGAGCATGACAATGACACAGAGAAAAAGGGACAGAGAAGACAGCACTGGGGGAAAACCAACTGTAACGGGCACTGAACAGCCCTGAATGTGCCTGCTCTGCAGGACTTGGGGAACGATTTCATAAAATACAGTGAGGATGTAAAAGTAGCCACTGAAAGAACATTTTAAAAGCAACCACACTGAGGAAGAGCAAGAGAGGACAGCAAATTAAAACCCAGACACAGAAAGAAGTAGGACAGAGAACAGGGAAGAAGGATTGAGCAATAGAGGGAGATACAGATAGGAACAAAGTGATGGAGAAGTAATGGCATGAAACACCTGCTTCTAGCAACCTGTCACTCCTGATGTCAATTCCTCGGCCTCGAAAATTGGACATGGCAGAAGACAGAGGAATGGGAGAGTGAAGGAAAAGTCACAGGGCACTTCTTAAGAAGAAAAAAACAAGAGACAGCAAAACAGTGATGGAGAATGGAGTAGGGATTGGGAACAAGAGAGGAACAAGAGAGACTGGATATCAGACAGAATGTGAGAGCTAAAAAGGGATGGGAAGCTGGATATAAAGATGGAAGAAAACCAGGACCAAACCCCAGTATTTGTTACACAGTGCGGCCAATTAAATGTAAATAATCTACCAGCTTGAATGGAATTACTCACCACAGTGGCTTAGCCTGCATTTGTTTATTGGCAGGGTACAAAGCACTATAAAACCCATGATAAAGCAGAAGGACAAACATGTTTACAGGAGCAAGATAAATTAATTATGTGCACAAGATCTGATACTGCTTAGTCATAATCCTGTCTTGTATGGCAAACTAATACTCTGTTCTCTGAATTTCACTTCTGCCAATCCCACATTTATCCATGCTTCTCCATTAACCATCTTGAGTGTTAGATACAGAGTTGTCTGAAGATGCCGAAGATGCAGGTTCCTCAGAAATCCTACACTGACCTTGAAGTTGAGCAAGAAGAGTTGAAAAAAAACAATAAATCTTAACCACAGATTACTTCAGTGAACACAGCATGTTAAGGCAAGTATGGGGGTACCCAGAACAAAGACCTCATCTTGAATCTGGTCCAAGGTGGAAAGAAAGCATCAACTGCTTTGGCTGTCTGGCTTTTTCAAATCAAACCTCAGTTCAGTTCCACGCCTGTGCCATGAAGAGGGGAAAGACATGTCTACATGTGTAACAGCTTTATGTTCTATGCCAGTATTAATACATTGCTTTCCCCTGCTGTGCTTCTTGGATATTGTATTGTGTTTTCACTGGTCATGAATAAATGCATATGAAGAGTTTTTACTGTTACTGACTTCAGTTATGTTTGGGCTGAAGGAAAACCAAGAAAACATAATACATGAGGTAATTCCATTTTAATAGTCTCTGAATTTCCAGTATTTGAAAGGAAAAATAATGGGGTAAGTGCAGGAGTATGCAGCCATTACCAACAGAGCTGCACTAGTAAGCTTCTCAATGTTGCTTTTTGGTATTTCATGGGGAAAAACATTGAGATTAAGATTTCTCATCTATCAGTTCTTGGGGGCCAGGGGTATAGAAGGAACCTGACACTCTTCAGTTGCCCAAGGACCACAGCTTACAGTTATTCAATATCTTCTGGTCTCACTGGATGAGGCAGAGGTATAATTGATTTTTTCTCTGCATCTCTGGAAAGAGCTTTTCTCATATCTGTAGTAAAAGGGAAAGAAAAAAAAAAAGCTATTCTAGTAAGACAGCAATGCACAAAGCCAAAGTGAATGAATTCTGCAGTGCAGTAAGATCAGTTTTAATTGCTCAGCAGCGTTATAAATTGGATTATAACACTGCATGAAACTCAACTGAATGGAAAGCAAATGGCTGAAAGGTTAAATACAGAAATTAGGGTGTCTGCAACACTGGTAGATTTCTGTTTGTAGCTCCTGTTTTTCACAGTGATATACAGCATGGCCAGGTAACCCACTGGGGAGGATCTTAAAGGAAAGAAGGTCTAGAAAGAGGAAGCTGGTACTTATGTTTTGTTAACAGAATTAACATTAACATACTTGAAGTTCTATGTTCCTTCCTTTTAAACTGAAAATGCCACCCGGTTCTCTCACACTGTTGGCCACTGACAGCTGGAAATTTGTAGCTGGACATCTGAGAAAAACAGAGCTTCAAGTCCCTTTTGTGGGAAGAAATGAGGAAAACACTGCAACTCCTTCCCTCAGTAACAGTAGCAAAAAGGCCAGCCACTGGGTGTGAGCATTTCTCAGAAAGAAAAACTAGATTAGAAACTGCATTTTTATTTTCATCTTACATACAGGATGAGTGTCTTTGTACTTTTAGTTTATTCTTATTCTGTATTTTGCCACAGGTGCTACAAGAAGTGTAAACTACAAGATTAAGTTTTATAACTGATGTAATCTTCAGTAGGAGAAGCTACCTAAAGAAGTATGCAAAATTCTATTCACCAACACCTATCCAAACCTGTTTCAAATTAAAAAAAATAATAAAAATCATGCAAACAAACCCAGGAACCCTCAACATGAGAATCTTTCCATTCAGCTTGAGTACTTACCATAAGCAAGTACTTACCATAAGCATCTTCATCTGGCTCTCCACTGCTAGCAGAGTAGTACTCAAGTACTGTTCGGTACACACTGTAGCCTAGCTGCTTATACATATTTACTGCAACCTGGTTTGATACCCTCACAAAGAGATCGACGAAAAAGCCACCCTTTCTGTGAAAAAAATCCCAAAATCACAGTAAGCAGCACCAAGTGAACATGTTTCTAAATAATAACCCATAACTTGTAATCAGATCAAGAGCAGGTCCATTGATGTGGAACACTAATCCACCATCTGTCACACTGTGATAACAGATGCACTCCTTTACCAAGGGACAAATCTAGTACAAATTTCATTTTATTTTTGTCATTGACCATTCCTTTACAGCCACTGCAAGTTCAGAATTATGAACTGGAAGAACAGGACAAGCTGAACACCCACACAGGCCTCACAGCCACAAGAAATTATAAAAAAAATAAATAAATTAATCCACATTTTAGATTGCACTGACTCAGGGACTGCATCCTTCCAAGTGCATGGCCGGGGGGAGTGATGGAAACAGTCACAACTCGGCAGCTGCCCAACCAGAGACAACCCTTCTCCCAACATGGCAAATTTCTCAAAACGTGGTACTACTTTCTGGTCCTACTGATTGCAACTGGGCTGTGCCACCAGCACAAGAGAGGACATTCCCCCATGGGTTCATCTGATGCTAAATTAAACTTTCAGGAGGTACAAACACCCAAGCACAGGACAGCGAGCTAAAATACTGTTTGCCCTACAAAATTTTTCCAAGACTCTGAATGTGGGAATTGCATGGAGCCCAAGATTCTGAACAAGTGTGTTTGAGGCCCTACATGAAGCAGTTGATGTTTCATGAAGCTCTCTTCTGTGAAGAAAAGGGCCTCTTACACAGTACCTCTGTTGGAATTCAGGCTAATTATTACCCATCCTGGGAAGTCAGCTTTCACAGAACCCTGAAACCTTACAGAACAAAGCAACATTTTTAAATCTTCTCTAGCTACAGGGAATTTCAGTCAGTTAGAACATTACTTAAAACAAAATTCTGGGCATGTTTCATGCAAATACCTAAGCCATGAACAGGTGTCTGTAGAAGGATTAGTTTAAAAGATAAATTCAATCTTTAAGTTTTAAAAGATAAATTTAAGGATAGTACTCACTTTTCTGAAATTTCTTCCAGAAGTTCCATCAGTTTAGCAGCCAAACCCAGGCGTCGAAATTCTGGTGCAACAGAGAGAGCAGTAACATGTCCATGCCATTCTTCCCTAGCCACAGAGCCTTCTGCTTTACCCATTACTGTGAACACAGACAGCATCAGCACAGCAACATCTTTAGAACAATGCACCACACTCTCTACACCTTTAGCAAAACACCCCCCAGCATATAAATAAATGTTGGAAGGACTGTGGTAAAGGCGCACACAGGGATGTCTATGTTATCACTTGGTGCTTCAGCAACCACTACAAATGTCATTTTGCTCAAGTGTTACAACTGTTCCTTGATAGCGTAAAAGGAAAAAAAAAAAAAAAAAGGAAAAAACTGCCACAAATATTCTGAAAATCCCTGTTTCAGGCATGACTGCCAAATGCAAATTTTAAGGAATTCTTGTGAGTCTTTAACTGAGCAGAATCCAGGATCTAACTAAAATAATGGAGGAATGGAGGGCTGGAAAGCCAAAACTAAGTCACCATCCTGGAAACTGCTGGAGACTTTTGGTGACTGTGGAGGAGCAGAGCCTGGGAAGCTTTGCCAACCTGGTAACAGAAGCCAAGGCCCTGTAAATACAGAATGTTTAAAGAAAAAAAACAAGGGGCTATTGGGGTGTTTTGGGTGCTTCTCTGTATTTTCTCTCCTTTCTACACAGAGCCAAATCAATGCTAGTTCACTAATGAATACTCACACTTCTACATGGTACTCTTATAAACATCAGTCACTGCCAATAAGCAACTGATGTGGTAGGTACAGAGAAACCTTCCATAGAGCAAATGCTTTAAGCTTTACTATGTTAAGTAATTTATTTCCCTTAAAGACCCTTTATTCTGCTCCCCAAGGGAGGTCAGAGGCAGGGGGGAAGGAACAAACAAACCGACGTTTCCATGTGGAATGATTTCTGCAAAATACAAATATTCCACAGCAAATAAGCAGTAGACACCCATTCCCAGAGCTTTCCCTTACAGGACAATGCCAAACCCAAGCTCAGAATTTTTACTTATGATGACTGACAGCATGAGATCAGAGCTGAGCGCAGGGAGTGAGGCTTACAGGCTGAGAAAGTTGGGGCTGTTCAGCCTGGAGAAGAGAACGCTGCGTGGAGACCTCATAGCAGCCTTCCAGTAACTGAAGGGGGCCTAAAGCAACTCTTCATCAGGGACTGGATGATCTTAAGGTCCTTTCCAAACCTAACTATTGTATGACTCTACGATTCTGTGATTACAGAAATGCTTGTACCTGTGTAAAACCTGCTACCACAGCCAAGAGCTCTTGCTGGCTAGCAACACCAAATCAAAAACTGGCGCTGTGAGTCCTACCTAATACCCTAAGAAAGGTATGAAACAGGAAGATGCTATGCGACAGTCCTCTTCCCTGTTGGAAAAAGTGAGTAGTAGGAAAAGCTCCTGCGTTATAACCCCCCCAACATGCAGCACAGCGAGACGGCAGCGCCGGGACCCCGCACTCACTGTAACCCATTAGCTCGCCGCCAGGCGCCTCGGCGACAATGAAGTACTCGGGCCAGTGCGCCAGGTACTGCAGGTAGAACGGGATCCCGTACTGGGCTCTCGGTTAAGGAGCAATCTGCGGCAGCCCGGGCTGCGCCCCGCGCTCCCCCCGGCAGCAGGAAGGATACGGTCTCCGTCAGAGGGTCCAGGTTGCTGCGGGGGAAGAACAGCGGTCACCGCGGCCCGGCCCCGCCAGCCGAGCGGCGCCCCTAGCTCCCGGGGAGCCTGAGGGAAGCCACGGCCGAGTGAGACGGAGCTCGGATCGGCGGGGCCGGGCCGTGGCAGGCCGGTGCTCACATGTTGTTGAAGCAGAAGAGATCATCGCACGTGAAGGCCCGAAGCGTCGTCATACCGATGCCGGTGGTGGTGCTCAGTGGTGCCGCTCGGTAGCGCCGGTGCTGGTGGTGCCGCCCCACCTACCCCCACAGCTCCAGACGTCGTCATCGCCGTCCCGGAAGCGCTCCTGCCGCCCAAAGGCCCCTTCCGCCACGGAGAGGCGGAAGTGGAGCGATGTACGCCCGCCGGGAGAGCTGCCCCTGGGGGTTCTAGTGAGCAGGGGCGGCGGGGAGCGGCAGTGGGGGGGGGTCGGGCTGTGGAGGTTGAGGCCGCTTTCGGCGCAGCACGGAGCGGTGCTCCTGCGAGGCCGAGTCGCCCTCGGAGCCCGGCGCAGGGGCAGGGAGAGCTTGAGCAGCGCCCAGGGGTATCCCCGTGGCGAGCCCCTGGCAGTACGGTTCGGCCGCACAGATCGACACTGCGCGCCGCGCAGACAGCTCCCAGTGAGACAAGGAGGCACAAAAGTACAAAATGTAATCGGTTCTAAGTAATGTTAAGTTTGATGGATTTGTAATGGAAAATAACTGCGGTGCTTGGAGGTAGTTGACATAGTTTCAGGACCTCAGTACAAAAGGTGTGAGAAAAGCAGAATAGGACAGGACCTGGGGATGGGGAGTATCTGGGACTAGCCGATGTCCAGGGTGGGCACAGATAAACTAACTGATAAGTAAAAGGACAGGATGATTGCTATGCTTGGGGTGTTAATAAACCCATTAAGCTGGTGTAAGCATCTACTAGGGAGTATCCTGGACTAGCAGATGTCCAGGATGAGAGCAGTTAAACTAAGTAGAAGGCCAGGATGATTGCTATGTCTGTAATGTTAATTAAGCTTGTTGGGAAAAGTAAACGACCTTTAAAGACCACCACATTTTTGTATTCATGCCGGAAACTTTTTGGAAAATGATGTAATATGCTCAGTGACCACATAAGGATGACCTGTGTAGCAATTCGGGGACACACGTTAGGAGGAGCTATCCCCCGTGTCTCCCGGCGCCGCAATAAAAAATACCTGCTTGTCAACTTGAAACTGTTGGCGAGTTTGTTCCTGGAGTTTTCTTCGAATCACCAGAAAAGGGGAAATGCCGGCGGACAAGAAGCCCTGTGGTGCTACCGTGGTATAGATGCTGTACAGCAGACCCAGGGAAAGCACTCAAATGTCACAGCCTGTTAGAAAAAGTTACCCTCAAAACTGGGATGAAGGATGCCCAAGAGTCAGGCCCTAAGACTAGACGGACGCAGGGAATAAACCCGGGGGGGGGGGGGGGAGAAACATGGGGAAAAAGGGGAAAAAAAAAAAAGGCAGCCCTTGGCCTGGGATCTTTATGGGCATTGATAACACACGTCTTCTCTAGGAAATGCCAAGGAAGACCACTACAGAAGTACACACCTACTGGATGCCTGTAAGAAGCAATGCCTGTGATACCCAGATGGATGGCAACAAAAAGGACCTGAGAGAACACGGGAGGGACACAGCTATGGTGCTGAGTTGCTGGGGGCACACCTCAGAGTGAACAGTGCATAGTAATATATTTCACTCAAGCCAAATGAACAAGGATACTATTCACTGTGGTCCACTTTGTGCAGCCTGTTCCCTACCCCTCTGGCTACTATTCACCTCTCCGAGGTACAGTTCCTACAATATTTGCCACACTTGTGCCTAAATCATACTTTCTCATTAAAGTAACCTCAAGTGGATGGGAAGTGGACTAGAGGGGTTCAAAGGGAGTAAGAGAAAGCCTTGGGACATAACGGGGAACGCAAGAGGGGTTCTGAACTACTGAGTCCTCAAAAGACTACAAAGTCGAGAAAAAATCTGTACATTGTGTATAGCAACTTGCTGTAACACTGCTGGCAGCTACAGCTTCTTGGTGATTTTTTCTATATGTCAGCTGCACTTAAAAAATTCTTCACTTTCCCAAGAACTAAAAAGGGGGGGGGGGGAGGCGGTTTATAATTTTAATATAATTAAAATTATATTTACATAAAACCCACAAAACTGCAGGGGACTGAGGACATCTAACAGGAACAGGACAGGTTCAACAGAATCTTGGGGGGAAGAACTCAAGTCTTCATCAGTATCCGGGTTCCAGCTGGGATGGAGTTAATTTCCTTCCAAGTATCTGGTGCAGTGCTGTGCTTTGGCTTTAGTCTGAGAACAATGCTGATAACACCAATGGTTTAGTTGTTGCTCAGTCACTTCCCCTCACCACAGACTTTTCAGTCTCTCATGCTCTGCAGTGAGGAGAAGCATGAGAAGCCAGGAGGGAGCAGAGACAGAACACCTGATCTGAACTAGCCAAAGGGGTATTCCATGCCACAGCACATCATGCTTGGGATAGAAAGTGGGGGGAGTTCCCCAGAAGGGGCTGATCACTGCTTGGCCCAAGCTGGGTATCAGTGGGTGCTGAACGATTGTATTGGGCATCACTGCTGATTAGTGTTGTTTTTCTCTTTCTCTTTTTTGGTTTTATATTTTGTTCCCTTGTTATTTTCCTTATCGTTAGTAGTAGTATTACAGTGTACTTTAGTTACTAAACTGTTCTTATCTCCACTCGTGGGATTTATATTCTTCTGATTCTTCTCCCAATCCCACCCTGGGGGTGATCAGGCGGCTGCTGGTGCTGAGTTACCGGCTGTATTTAAACCACAACAATCAGTCCAAAGGAACAACAGAGTCCAACAGCACATACTTATAATAATCCCCTGGCAGAATGAGTGATATTTGCAATACCCAGGTTCTGAGTCCTCTCAGAAGCTCTACGACTGCAGACATGAACATAACAGTAGGACATGGGTATATGCCCACCTGGGAAAATGTTGGTGCCTACTCTAAACGTGATCGCTCACTCCAGCGACAATACTAACTAAATCTCCTGTGACTTAGAGGTAAGCCTAGACACTTTGGTATACATAGGCCATCACAGAAGGTTAAACATAAGCAAGACTAAATCCACTCTCAAGTCTTCTTGTTACTGGTCTGCAAGTTCTCCAACTGGCACAGGCACTCTGCTGAACTTTTCCTGAATTCCTCTTAACTTCTGATTCTCTCTCCAGATTCAAAGGACTTTTTGATTGTGACCTTACCTAATGTCTTGTTAGTAAACAAGACAGAGTTTGCTCAGTTTCTATTATGCTACATGCTCTTCCCATCATGTACAAAGACACAGAGTCATTTGTGGCATGCTGATCTAAACTATCAACTTCAGTAGTCACAAAGTCACCTCACTGAGTTGTTTCTTTTGCTTCTTAGGTTTTCTCCCCAAGAATAAAAAGAAAAACCAATAAAAGATGTGTGAAGCAACAATATTAAGAATAACTTCACATAATTTATTCAGTTGTATGAGAGGAGAGAAGTAAGACAACTACTGTAAAAAATAGTTAATTTCTCAGGTAATTTTTCTGCTTTGGGAAACAGAGTAGCACATTTTATTCAGTTACAGAAGCTGTTCCTAAACTGTTGATTTGTTTGGTAAAGAGCTCTTTGATCACAGAAAGCTGCAAACAGCATTACTGACAGTGCAGCTGGGAACAGATTTGTTGTCAGACTGGTTTTTATTTTGGTTCTGAGATCTTATGAATAAAGCTATTTCTGTAGAGACTACAAAATCCAACCAAATGTTGTATGGACAAACATGCTGGTGTTTATGATCTAATACAATAACAAGAACAGTGGAAGTTATATTCTTTCGATAGCTCTTTATATTGATAACAGTTTGATGCTCCTCTTTATACACATCAGAAATTCTCCACATTCCATCATCCAGTTCTGACAGTGGTCTTCATAAACTTAGTGTTACTTTTAGTCCATTGCCACTTGACAATCAGGGACACAGAATAAAGAGGAAATACATGCCTTGAAACTTGGCCTTTAAATTTTAGGAGGTCAAGTCAAGCATTGCCGTGCAAATCCATTTTTTCTGAACCTGTCCTGCATGTATGTGGCTGAGCTTCAATATTTTTACAGGAACAGGCACTCAGATACACACATACAACAGTATCTTTCTGTTCGCAGTTCCATATGCATGTTTATGGAAACTTTTTTTTGTAAAAAATGCTGTGTCTCCTTCCTGGTGTATGTACATCCTTCTGGCTATTGGCAGAGTGTTTTCACCCAGCTTGATTTATACACTATGACGACGGTTGTTGATCATGGCCACAATGTGTGACAGGTCCAAACTTTTCATCATAACCTCCATGAACTCGTCATCCTTCCTTGCTCCCTCCACAAATTCTTCCAGAGAAAGTTCACCTGTGTCAGGCACAGACAGAGGAAATTACAATCATTTCAATCCACAAGGAGTATGGTAATCTAACTTTAGAGAGCACTTACTATACATACAGTGTTCTAAAGCACCAAGAGGCCTCAGAGAGTCTTTTTTAAGTTCATATGAAACTTCCCCAATATCCAGGCTATTCCAGCTTCCTTTCCTTCCTTTCCCGACATCAGGGAAAGGGTACGTAAGAAAGAATAGAGGAAGTGCATAGCTAAAGAGTGGGATCATAGTGGGATCATCCTGTAAATAAGGCTGTATTAGTTGCTTCCTTTTTGGCCTAACCTGTCAAGGTCCTAACCTACCCCATACTTGCTGGTTATCATGTTTAAAAGAAGTGACAGAAGGGAGCTGTGGCAGGCAGAAATAGGTTTTCTGTCCTAGGTCAAAAAGCCCCTGTGCAGGGAAGCATCTTGGCAGAGTTCTTCTGGAATAACAAAAGAGCATGTCAGAAAATAATAAGCACATGAAGCAGCATGTATGTGTCAGGGACAAATAGCAACTACAATGGCCTTGACCAGCTTTTGACTGACTGGATCACAGCACTTCATGTGCTTGCTTGCCTATAGCAGACCCAGTGAAGAAACTGTGAACTTCATTAAATTCCAGTTCTTCCTTTCCCTGCTGCTGAAATATTTAGGAGCAGTTTGGGACATCTGTTGATATTTCCCACTTCTACCTCTGACATCAGCTACACAGCAACATACAAAAAGGAAAAAAGAAAAAAACAAACCCAAACCAAGCAAATCTGCTCCAAAACC